GCAGCTTCTGATACAAAGGAGAAATAAATTTAAAAAAAAAAAAATCAAGATTTCAGGATCTCTTCTGGGTGTTTATACAGATTAAAAAAGTAATATCTCTGTACATTAGCATGCTAATAAAATGCTTTGTGGAAGGGCATTAGAACAGCATCAAAGAACCAGGGCTCAAGAAACTGCTTAAAGCCTTACGTGCTCCAAACAACTCAAGCAACGTGAAGAAAACAGACAACTTTGTCCTTCCAGCAGAGTTTCCACCTGCCAGCAATGCTTCCCCTCAGAAGAGAGAGCCTTTCTGGGAGGTCATCTAACAACTGACTGCCGCAAGACTGACCTTTCCAAGTACAGAGCTGTCTTCCCTAGTGCAGGCATGCTGCTGGACACCCTGCTCTGCACCCCACATGAAGCAGCAGCTGCCTGAAATCCTCTGGAGCGACACATCACTCAACGTGCTGAACACAGGGCTACAGCGAACACAGCTCTTCTCTAAACCACACAGCTGATTTTCTTCTCCTGAAGAAACCAAGAGTGGCAAGGTACCTCTGGCTTCCTGCAGATGCAAACCTGGATACAGGGAATCCCAGGAAAAACGCTCCAGGTCTACACCCTGGGTATTTCACTGCTGCCTGGCACAGCTGCCTGCGGGAGTCACGACGGCAAACAGAACCAATTAGGTCGGAAAAGACCTCTCAGATCATCGAGTCCAACCTACGGTCGAACACCACCACGTCAAGTAGACCACGGCATCAAGTGCCACCTCCAGTCTTTCCTTAAACACCTCCAGGGAGGGTGACTCCACCACCTCCCTGGGCAGTCCACTCTAACGTTTAATCACCGTTTCTGTAAAGAAATTCTTCCCAATGTCCAACCTAAACCTCCCCGGCCGCAGCTAAAGACTACGTCCTCGCGTCCTGAAGCAGCAAAGCCAGCCCCGGCGTTGGCATCCTGCGGAGACGGCCCGACACCTCCCGCCGGGATGCCGGCTGCCAGCAACACCGAATCGCACGCGCTCAGAAGCGAGCGCCCTCGCCACGTCTGCGAGCTGGCCTTCCCCCGCCACCAGCAAGGGCCTCTGTAGCTCCGTTTTTAGGTCGGGCGCCTGCAATCCCCGGCAGTGCTGCCGCCGCGGCCAGGCAGCCTCTTCCCGGGTCTCTGCGCGCCGCCCGCCTCGCTTCGCGTCCCGAGGAACAAAGGAAAAGCGCATCCACAGGAGCAGCTCCGACGCCGGGAGTGCTGCTCGCCCCTCGCCCGCATACACCGAGTCCCCCCGGGGCCGCCCCCCGCGGCTCTCCGGGGCTCCGCATCCTGGGGAAATTAGCCAATCAGAATCAAGACTTTAATCTTGATCCCTGCGCGCCGCCAAGTCGGCCGGGCGATGCGCCGAAGGCTGCCCCGGGCCCAGTGGCTTCCCGGCCCGTGCCGGGGCTGTGGGGCCAGGCTGGGGCGGGGCTTCACTTTGAAGAAGCGCAGAGCAGCCCGTACAGCTCCTCCATCGCGAGCCCCAGCTCGGCTCCAGGCTCAGCGCCGCCTGCTCCGCCGCTCGCGGGCCGGCCTCCGCGGCCGGGAGCACCGGGGCCCGGCGGCCCCGCCCCGCGCCGGCTCGCTGCGCCGGCCGCGCTTCGCAGGTGCGGACCTCGGCGTTGGGGCTCAGCGTCAGCCCGTCCACCGAGAACCTCGAGCCGGTCCGTAGCTGCAGCACCGGCCCGCCACCCTCCGCCGCCCTCCCGCCCGCCCTCCGCCTCCTGCTCCGCTGCGGCGGCCACGTCCCGACTTCCCGTCCCCTCCGACCCGGATCTTCCGGGACCGCCCACGGCCCCGCCCCGCCCGGCCCCGCTCCGGGGCCACGGGAAGCACCCGGGAATGGCGCTGGAAGTGAACTCGCCTCCTTCCCTCGGGGTCACTGCCCTCACCAGCAGTTTGGGGAGCTTCGCCCCCTGCGAATCCCGGGTGACAGGAGTGTCTGGGGGGGCCGCCGCTGGACACTTTGTCAGCGCTTTTTGCTGCTCGAGTAGAGAGGATAATGATGTTTCGCACGGCGTTACAGGGTACGCCAGAAACTGAAGTTGGAAGACAAGGAGCTACTGGAGAGGGTCCAGTGAAGGGCCAGAAAGATGATTAGGGGTCTGTAGCATCTCTCGTGAGGGAGCTGGACCTGCTTAGTTGAGAGAAGACGGAGAGGGGATCTCATTAATGCATATAATATCTCAAAGGCGGGTGCCAGGAGGACGGTACCAGGCTCTTTTCAGTGGTGCCCAGCGACAGGACAAGGAGACATAACCATAAACTAAAACACAAGGACTTCTTTACATTGAGGGTGGCAGAGCACTGGGACAGACTGCCCAGGGAGGTTGTGGAGTCTCCCTCTCTGGAGACGTTCACAACCCACCTAGATGAGCTCCTATCACCTGCTCTAGGTCACCCTGCCTTGGCAGGGAGTTTGGACTGGATGATCTCCAGGGGTCCCTTCCAACCCCAATTATTCTGTTATCCTGTCATGTCACAGACTGAAATCCTTTTGCTCCAGAAGAAGGTGATGTGGGGTCTGTCGCTGACCTCTCTTCCTCCTCTTCCAGGAATCATGCTTCAGGCCTCACACGGGAAAGGAAAGAAATGAGCTAGAGAAGGGAAAAAAGAGCACAAGGCAATTACTTCTCCAAGAGCTGTATCTGCAATTAGCTCACTCCCTTGTGACCATGAAACACCACTCACAATACTACTATTATCATGTGCTGTGTAAGGGGAGAGAGTTGCTCCCATGTGTGGTTGAGGAGGTTTATTCCCAGCACAAGCAATCCTCCTTGCAGGATTTCGAGAGGGGCTGTGTTAGCATGGAGTGCTTTTGGTCAGGTTTCTCACCCAAACTGAGATGCAGGCTGCGCACCTGGGAAGCGGCGCATCCCGGTCTGGTGGTTCGTGAAGCCAATGCAAAGGAAGAGAACAGCACAGCTTTGCAGCCTCCTGAAACTCGGTTTGGTGGGGGGGAGTCCCTCCTGTCCCCAGGCTTCACCAAATCCTGCGCCCCTTTCTGGGGTTTATCCTCTGAAGTCTGTCACATTGCCTGGTTTATCTACAGCTCAAGGTAGATTTGGATTCATCTGTTTCTCTCTCAGGAATGTTGAAGAGATTTTATTGTCACACTTATAAAACGCTTTGAAGCCTTTGGAAGGTGAAAGGGAGAAGAAATGTAAAGTACTTAGTTTCCAGTTAGTATTTCTTGAGAGACCACACAGGGCACTGTTTACAACACATGAGGCAGAATTTGATTCAGATGATGAGTCACCTAAGCTTCAAAAGAAATTTTGCAACTAATTGGAAGTCCTTTGTAGCTCCTTCACTAGCATTTTTTTCTTATTGAGGATCAAATGTAACACCATATTGTTTGCTTTTTTCCTGCCAAAGACTGGAAAACAGGGGTGTACTGTCCTCTTTTGATGGTTGGAGCTCTCCAGAGCACACAGTTCTCTGTATTGACCATTTGGTGCTACCTCATGGACCAGACTAACAGCATAACAGATGATTTTGTCTCATACAAGCCTGCACCCTGCCTTATAAGTCTGTCACTTCAGCATCCAACTTCACTCTAACATTTAATAGTTCATTTATAAAATCACTTGTATTGAAATATCTGTTTTCAAAGTTTGATCTGGCACATTTCCTGCTCGTCTTGAGGAGTTAACACTTCATAAATATTTTTTTTATGGCATAAATTCTACACTTCAATCCAAAATTCCTGCTTTAAGAAACTCTAAATTCTTTATCCTTAAAATGCATCCTTAGAGTAAAAGAAACTGAACGTCTGACTGATCCCTATTGATTTGCTCTGTTTCACCCATATGGAAGAAAATTCTCATTTTATTTACTGTTAAAACCAGAGGTGTTTCTGCCTCATGGTAGGAGACTGGTCTGAAACCAAGCAGCCCCTAGTTTGTGTGTTTGGAGGTCAAGCTAAATCCAGGATGCTGAAAAGCTGGTTTTGGGAATAATTACAGAAAACTGATTTATCTCCTGACAGGCTGTCTCCTGTAGCAAATGTTTGGTATGCTTAGCAAAACTGAGACTATGCCTCTCTTCTTGTGCCAGCTTTGCTACACTGTGCAAGAGGCATGTGAGCTGGCAGCAGTGGAGCAGGTTCCTTCATGAAGGGCAGCATAAACTCTTGGAAGGATCCCAGCTGGAGAGTGTAAGCAAGATGTCTTTGCTTTGCCTCCAGTCAGGGAGCCACCAAGCAGCACAGAGCTGCCCTCAGTGGCTCTCAGCCTGCCTTCCCCATAGCACAGCTGCTCTGGAGAGCGGGGAATGGACATGTTACATTGACGTTCCTCTGTTTCGTGGTGCTTCCAAGTTGGATTTACAAATACGGAAACTCGCTGTTACACTGTGGTGTCACTAAATGCTGTGATGTGCAACAAGGTGAGTGCCTGATCAGGTGTAGGAAGGGGATTAGCTGTGAGATGATATATTAGAAAAAAATGGAAATTCAAATTTTGAGAGGCGTCAGGAAGTTCTGGTCTGTGATAATTTAATAAAAAATTATTAAATATTTTTCCAGAAGAAAATTCTGCATTTTCAGAGCTAGTTATCTGTGTTACAGCGTAGAATCCTGGCTCATCAAAGATTTATCCAAAGCCACGTATCCAGGCAGCCGTGGGGCCCTGAGCACGTCCTCCTTACTGCTAGAGGTCTGGCTGCCAGGGCTCAGGACCTGCCATGGGGAGCATTCCCAGGCAGCTTGGTCGGGAGGCCACTGCCAGAACCAACACTGGCTCCCTGGCCCTTGGGAGCTCCTTCAGCTGAAGCTCTTGTCCTTGGCCTTCACCTGAACTATGGCCACAGGCCCCCAGGCCCTCACCTCATCTTGCACTCCCAGCCCTCTTGGCTCCCTGGCCCTCAGGGAGCAGCTGGTCCTGGCTGTTCCCTGCCAGGCAGCCAGTATGACTTCCAACGCCTTCAGTGAATTGCTCATCAATCCTGTAAATGAAGACATATTTCCCAAATGATTATGACAAATTCCCAATAATTTATGTATTTGAGAGAACCCTTAGCTTAATTCGCAGATAAGATGAATATGCTCAGTTCAGCCAGTAAATTATTCACTTGTTTCTTGGAACAGCGGGTTCTGCATGGGAAGGGAAACACGGAGGAAATACAAGTCCCAGAGAGGCAGTCTAGTCCAGCAACAGTGCCCTCCAGTAAGAAATGTAGACCTAGAAAGTTTATAGAGAATAAAACAACTATTTAATTCAAGATGCTGAATGTTTTGACAGTTAAAAATACCAAGCTACTCACTGCAATTATACAACGAAGCATTAAAACATTCATAGGACATTAGCCTCATGTAAACAAACAGCTCTTCCACTCTTCCTTGTGCAAGAGTGAGGAACCTACGTCTTGTAGGTACCAGACCACCAGCTCTTCCTCCCAGACACCCCTGGGAGAAACCTGTGTGCTTCCTGTGGCTTTGGCTGTCCTTTGAAGAGTCCCACTTGCACGGTGATCTCTAACAGAGGAAGGAGCCTCAGTTTGAAAGATGTGGCCTAACGTGGTGTTTGCTACAGCAACGGCTGCTGAATATTTGATTGTCTCAAATGAACATCTCTGAGCAGCCGGGTCTGGCACTGTGCTATGGGCTCAGAAATGCAAATCACTCACTGTGGAAATATTGTTATCAGCTTCTCAGGAATGGCTGTGTTAAATAAACTGGGTGTGAACATCACTCCCAGCTCTAGTGCTATTGTACTAGCCCAAAGCTCCCATAACTGGGAAGGGCTGGAGTGTCTGGAAAGAAAGGCTACGTGTACCTCTGGGAAGACGACCAGGTTAATGGATGAATTAAATTCTCCAACATTTGGCAATTGAATAGCATTTGTGAGTATTAACAGGATTGACCTTTTTCTAGAACATGACAGTTCTGTTTCTCTTTTTATTGTCTTCTTTTTCTATTCATGAGAGTTGTACTCACTGAACAGACCAAGACCAGAAGGAAAAAAGTGTTCAAGTCCTTTTACTTTAATTACAGGCTCCCTCTTTGTCTGCCTTTCCTTACAGGACAGATACAAGCTGTTTGGTTAGGAGCTGATCTGACACTGTAAAACCACCCAGAGAGACACCATTACAGTGTAGTGGATTCCAAGCTCTGCTAGCAACACAAAGGAAAACAAATTTGGTTTGTGCTTATGTCTGATAAAATCTAGACTAAGAGTATATGTAAATACTTTTGTTTTCCCCTTGTAGTTCTCTTGATCACAGTCATTTTACAGATATAATTTTTTTTTTGGAAGCATGCTGGAAAATATCTTTGTCCTAGGACTTACAGTGAATCACAGAATCATCTTTATCATCTGCCAGTGTTGCCCATTTTGGTGACCACTCAACCTCGTCTACCACTGAGCTGCTTTTTTTGTGTGTGCTTGTTGGTTTGCCTTAAGTTTAAGAGCTCGTGGTGACCCTAATGTACATGTGACAGACAGCAGATATTCTCAGTAACTTTTTAGATGTTCAGGACATGTTAAACTCAAGGATCACACACCAACCATTCATGTGTGCACAGTAAATTGGGTTTGGACTTATTGGGTCTGGAACAGCAAAGGCACAACAGGAGTCACAGAGAGAAAATTCTCTAAGTCATTTATATGTCCTTTTTCATTACTACTTGTTTATGCAAATGTGTTATGTCTGTGGAGGAAAATAAGCTAACTCAAGATTTTATGTTCCTGCTTTTCAGTGAAGCAAGAGAGCACTCTAAATCCAGTTCTGCAAGACCTTCACCACGGTCTCCTCTGAATTGAATAGTTTCAGTTTTTCTAGGAACTAATCACAGAATAGCAGAATAATTAGGGTTGGAAGGGACCTCTGGAGATCATCCAGTCCCACACCCCTCCCAAGGCAGGGGCACCTACAGGAGGTGACACAGGAACATGTCCAGGTGGGTTTTGAATGTCTCCAGAGAGGGATACTCCACAACCTCCCAAGGCAGCCTGTCCCAGTGCTCTGCCACCCTCAATGTAAAGAAGTCCTTCCTCACGTTGAGGTGGAACTTCTTGTTTTAGTTTATGACCATTGCTCCTCCACCTGTTGCTGAACACCACCAAAAAGAGTGGCACCAATCTCTTGGCACCTGTCTTTGAGATATTTATATGCATGAATGAGGTCCCCTCTCAGTCTTCTCTTATCCAGACTAAACAGGCCCAGCTCCCACAGTCTCCCCTCATAAGAGAGATTCATTTATGAAAACTGAAAACCTGAGAGAGAAGGGGAAAAAATGGAGAAAGGTAATTTTCCAAGTAGAAACCTGCATGCAATTTCTGAGTGAAAACCTCTATGCAGTTTGTGTCAATGCCTGAAAATAAGTGCAATTCCATTTTCTTGTTCCTTCAGGAGGTCTTCTTTAAAGCATGGTCTGCTGTTGCCTGGCACACAGAAGCAAACAGTGCCACGTGCTGCACGTCCTGTTGGACAGCTCTGAAAGACAACAGTAGAGCTGCAAGTTTGGAAATGAGTTGTGGTTCCTTATGGGGCCTCTTTGCAGCAGGTGGATAATAGTTGTCTCTGCTTTGAAGCCAATACTGTTCACTGCGCTGCTGCCTCGCATTTATGTAGTTATTTATGGTGATGTTCACACTGATTTCTCTAATTTACTATGTGAGGTGTAGAATAACAGTCAATCGGATGTAGGATCTGGCAATACATTTTCAGCTATGTCAGCAAATACTGCTGAAATGGCATTTATTGACAGAGTGCTAGAGTGACTCCTGAGGAAACATACACATGCTAAAGTCCATCTTCACTAAATATTCTCATTTTGACAGACAGCAAACATCCCATAGCACGGCCACAGTTATACCAGCTACAGGTGACCGTAAAAGAACAGTTCAGTCTAATAAATGAAGTGATACCATTTAATTATCTTAGGCTGATATGATTGCATCTGCTGCAGTGTAACTGTGTAAACAGTCACGCCTTCCACGGGCACATGAGCTGGGAGAAGTACTACAGCACTTTTATCAATAAGTCTTTGCCAAACAAGATACGGCAGGAAATTTGAGCACTTCCTGAATTTAACCAGCTCCCCTTAATAAAGTGATTTTACAGAAGAGAGAACAGGGAAATTGATGCAATTAGCAATTGCATTTTTGGCTATCTGCCCAGAGAAAACTGAACCAACAGCCAGATGAATGATTTCTATCCATGTAAATTTAGAGCACAGAAAGCGAGTTGTACCTCTGTGTCAGGGTCTGACCCCAACTAGCACATGTCCCCAAAGGGGACAGGAATGACACATGCCTGCCCATGACCTCTGATGCTCCAGACATGTCCTCCTCAGCCCTGTGCTACATACCAGCTTCTTCCCTCCTGTGTCCTTTCCTTTTGGCTTTATTTTCAAATGAGCTGTACCTACCTTTGGGACTCCAAGCTGTCCAGTGGCACAGGAAATGATAGGCAGGGAGATTTCTTAGCAAAACTGCTGACTCTCCTCCCTCTCTCTTGGGAAGAGCAAGGCTATGTGTGCAATACATGGCATTATCCGTGTCACTCCTTCCATTCAGCAAACAGAAGGATAACACACCTTTCAAAAGCATGCATTAAACCCGTCCCTCTTCATCTAGTTATCAGATGCGGTCTTTAATGGAGACCATGCAGCTGGTTCCCATCTGCTCAGCTGTGGCTCACTTTTGTATGTTATTGTTTGGGGTTGTTTCTCCTGCTTTGGGTTAAATTAAGAATGAGGTTTCAGAAATGGCTGCAGCTCTGGCCTGCTCCCAGCCCCACACCACATGCTCCCATCAACATCCTGGTTGCCAGCTCTTAAGCTCATCGGACCTCTCAGCAATCCCTCTCACCTTATCATGCAGACAGAAAATTATTCGCTTCCTAGGTTAGTTCTCTGCTGGCTTGGAAAGCAGGCCTGGTTCACCAAAGGGTCAGGAAAGCACTGGCAGCAACAAGAACATGCTGCCAGGGGCAGGGAGGCAAGGATGGGTCGTCCCTTTGAGGGCAGCTTGCAGTTAGAGCTGGGAGCTAATGCCAAATAGCGGCGGTCGCACTCCACCACTGCTCCCAGCTGTGTTTCCTGCCCTTTCCCTTGCACCAAATCTACTCTTGGAATGGCTTCAGGGTGAGTTGATTCAGCTGGCTGATCTGGCTGAAAACTACTCATTTTTATGGCATGGTTAGTTTGCTGCTGTTGTCAGCCAGATGAACAGATTCACCCTGTGGCCACACAGCCGCTAGATACAATGTAAGGAAAGCAACACAAACAGGAAACACAGACCAGCTTGTAGATACCTCAGCTGCAATACCAAACTGCAACCTAAAGAGCAGCCACACCGATCCAGCCATCCTGCTGTTCCTGCAATAGGCAGATAACTAGATAGTTTGCTTCCCTACCTGTGCACTTCTGCTCTAAAGAACATCTTTTCAGTACAGGAAGTGTATTTTTATCTCCCTTATTCTGTGTGAGTAGAATTGCACTCCAGCAGGCAATATCAACCTCTTCTGATTTGTGGACTGCTAATGGAGAGGCAGGTCCTGCACAGAGGGACTAAATCTATTGACTTCCATTCTTTTGTGGACTTTGGAAGTTACTCACAGTGGCAACAACCACAGACTGAAATGTACCGCACAGTGGAACTGCTGAGAATCACACAAGTCCCACCTGACTGGCAATAGTCTTTTGACATCTTTTTCTTCTTTCATTTCTTTTTATTTCTCATCAAGGATAATAAAATCAGAGCAAATTACCGGGGTGAGGCTGGTGAACAAAATCAGAAACTTTGAGCTAAAACCTCCTCAGTCCAGTTTCCTAATGGATAGTGCAGAACAAATTACTGAGACAGAACTTTCCATTCTCACTATCTGTGAGTAGGCTGTCCTCACAGGAAATAAGCAGTAACATCCTTTTTTACAAAAGTAGTGCAAGATCTTTTGTTGCAAGGCAGAGTCACAAAGCTGAGTCTGTGTACGGACTGCACTAACAACTCTGCCTCCTCTTGGCTTATAGATGCTCCTCTTGGCAAAACTGTGACTCCTCTCTCCATCACTGCAGAAGGCTGTCTTTTGGTGTGAGGGGGTTTCAGTGGCAATACTGGCTTGTAGTGAAATGCAGCCTCCTTCCTTTTATACTTCTCTCACTCTCTTTCTCCTGGCTTTATTCCCAGATCTGGTTCACTGCCCAGCCCTGTAAACTGAGTCAGTACAATTGTCAGGGTGAAGGGCTGCAAGGAGAGGAGTGAGATGAGGGAGATGGCAAAGGGAGAAGGCAGCAAGATCTCCTTAAGCTGCCAAACCCTCACTTTTCACCAACCCAGAGTTCAAGACTGGCACATTTAGTACATCCATAATCTCACCCAGCATGTTTGGCTTAAATTGTCTGTAGTTTATTTACACACCTTCTGGTCTCTATCTTGCTGATGATTGAGAGGAATTGCTGCTGAAGAGGTCATATGTTTTCTTAAAGACAGGGAGACATGAATCCTTTTTCTTTCACATGCTTTGCTGCAAGATAATGAAATCTTTGAATGAGGAAGGGAACAACATATTAACATATAATTAAAAGCAGTCATGAAGTCATCCACTGGGGACCTCATCATGTATCTCTTGTTAAATGGGGTCTGGGATGGCTGGCATGTGTGGGGAAAAACAGGGCAAGAGTTCTCAAAGGGAAAGTTTAACCAAGGTGATTACATCTCACCAGCCAGTTTTCTGAACCCTATTCCCAGGAGAGAAGTATCTGAATGCCTGTTTCAGTGGTGGTGCACTCCTACACACCAGTCCTAAAACAGCAGAGGTTAACAACATTCAAAATATCAGCACTGCCCCCTGAGATAAAACACTATCATGACGAAAAGAGCAATTCTCTGGCATCCTTCTGCCTGCAGAATCTGTATAAGCTGGGCTCCACTAAAGGAGCATTACCAATGCAATTATGTGAGTTAAGAGCTGGGTCTTTTGGTGATAAAAGCCCTCATTTAGGTGTAGCTATACACACATAGGCAGGAAGAGTGTGTCTTTAACCTCACTGAGATACAGAAAAAAAAAACCACATCTCTAGCATAGACAAGCCCTTAGGATCAAAAATACATGAATATAATATCTCCTTTTGTGTGTGGCTTATATTACAGGCCTCCATAGAGTGCCCATCATTGTAATCCTTGAGTAGCAAACAACAATATTTTCCAGCTAGGGAACAGGCTCTGATATTCACAACAGCAACTGGTATTTCTTTCCAGATCAAAACCCGTGGAAGGAAATTCCTTGCCAGATGGAGTCCCAAGCACCACTAGTAGTGTGCCCAGTAACCTGTTATCCACGACAGACAGCAGGTTCTTGCTAATCCTCTCTACTCAAAAAGAGGGCAGTAGCAATCTTTGCCAGTTGAACCTTATCACTGTGGTGTGAAATGTCACTTGCAGGTCAGTAGCTGTTTGTTCTGACCCCCTCACTACATTTTACTGCAAAAAGTAATTATCTCACTGTTGATCACTTTAGGAGACTGATCTAGTCCCTCAGCTTTAGTGGTCATGTTAGGAAAGGGCTGGTCCTGAATCCCACAAAAGTACGTAAGAGTATCCAATATGACTGGTTTGATGAAAATAACACTTATTTAGAGGCAAGTAATTTAATGCACAAAATATTTAATAATTTTGATCTTTTTAACTGTCATCTACAAGTCAGGAGAAAAATCCTTCAGGAGGGCTGGAAAGTCTTGCAGATCTGAAGAAGGAAATTTCTCTAACCACATGTGAAAGAAGGAAGATGTTTGCTTTAGCATCACATTAATTTAAAAAAGATCCAAATTTTTGGTTAATTTTACTTTTTGAAAAATCTTGTTTTCATCAACTGGTAAAATATATTAGAGGGAAAACATCTATTTTGTAAGAAAGTCCTTTTTTTTTTTCCCAGTGGCACATTACAAGATCTTCCCTTTTAATGCATTGAAGGAGTTGGTTTGACGATTCTTTCTGACACCTCAAAGAGCTGAGACTCTGCAAATAGGTAGTGAAAGGATTAAATAAATTACTTGATCACTGTGGAAAATCATAGCCAGGGATTCAGAACACCAGGAGCCTGAGGTTTCCATGGCTATTGTATGAGAAAGACACCTTCATCTTGTAACACATCTAGGATTGCAGTGCTATTTTTTTGAACAAATGGGATCATGGCCAATGGTTTACCAGTCTCAGTTCTACAAGTGTAGAAGCCACTCAGTTGTCTCAAAGCCTCAAACAAAGGCAGACAAAAGCTTTGCAAAAAGTCTCATCTGTCCCTACTTAAAATGGAGACTGCTCAATAGCTAAAGAACTGAGCTCTTAGTTATCAAGGGGTATGGTAAAATCCCAAATAATCTGCAGACTATTAGAGGACCAGTAAAGCCTCTGGCTGGGAAGTTATTCAATGTTCAAGGATTTCCAGTATCCTGTTTCCTAGGTGCCATTAAAAACCCACAGTCTTTAATTCCACAGCAACTCGGCTCTCCCTGTGATACCATTATGTGTATATGGCTGGATGCAAACACTGTGGCAGTTCTCACCTGACAGCATATTGCTACACACTGTAGCATGTAAATTAGTCTCTGTGTGTTGACACAAGTCACCCTTCTTCAGTGTCACTTTATTTAAACAACCATGCAGTGTGTATTTGCATGTGTATCAGTACATAGAAGAAACCACCTCCCCAGTCAGCTCTTCATCCTCCTCGCGATCCTTGTGCCCACAGCACAGCCAAAGTAGGGGAGCCTGAGGGGTTTCCAGAGAGCTGCCAGGGAAGGATGGGGACTGGGGCTGCTCCCTGGCTCCCTCCCAAGCTTCCCGTCTCACTGGAGGCTGCTTGCTTTCATTTCTGGGTGCCTCTGATTTCCTCGTTGATAAAATATTCCTGCTTGGGAGCTGGGTGCAGCCAGTGCCCAGAGACACACCCAAGCCCGGCCTGTGGCGTGTGCATTTCCACCCCAACGGCTTTGTCTGACACCAAATCGTTCCTCACATTGCCTGACTGTCCTGTCACCTTTGGTAACAGCCGTGTTTGGCAGCCAACCATTTCCTCGCAGACTGGTGAGCTCACGACTGCTTCAAACGGGTGTCAGAGAAGTTTACACGTTCCTTGGAACGGGCTGTTCCTCACCCACACTACAAAGGCCCGATCTGAACTACAAACCACACAAAATCAACCTGCCTGCAACGCTGTGGCCACTTCGCACTGGTTTAGTCCTGTCAAGGATGCAGAAAGGAGCTGGAGCTCAGGCTGATCCATTCAGCTCTGTGAGGCTGGAGGGTGTTGTCCTCCCTCAGCCTGTCTTGTCCCCATGCTACACCCCACCAAGCCAGGGCTCAGCCCAGCAGGATTTCAAGCAACCGCTCCAGCAAACTGGGCACTTGTGAAATTTTTTCTGAAACTTTCTCTGTCTTTTTGATGTAGCTGTTGCTTCCTGGACTCCTATCATCTGAGCTGTCTCATGTGGTTGCAGAAAATGGAATTGGATGGACCACTGGTAACATCAGCTCACCATCCAGTAGGCCAGTGACTCAAGGGAAGGGGGAAAGCAGAACCAAAACAGCCAGACTCCCCTTTCTGCTCTTCCACTCGCTGGCTTTCACATAACTGTGAGCAGGCCACTCAGTCTTCCCATGTTCTAGTAAAACAAAGACACATCCCTGGAAAATATATCAAGGTCCTCAAGAGAAGGAATTCTGCAGAGTGAAATGCAGGGATTACTCCTAAATGCTATCGCTCAGATTTTAGAAAAGAATTGGCTTTACTAGAGCATCCACCATTTCAGGGCTGTCCTTAACAGCCCTGAAAGCCAAGACCCCTCTCCAGTGCCAGCACAATTCCACAGTCATTCACTTCTCTCTATTCACTCTAGGTTAACAAATCACAATTTCTTAAATAGTCCTGCTTTTATGGGAAATTTCAGCCTGGTTGGTGTTTTTTGAAATAAATGTGGCTCCATCCACTTAACAAAAAGGTTTCATATGTTGGATAATGCATTTCTGGACTTACCCCATGCAAGAAGTCAGTTTATCCAGAACTGCCAAAAGGTTTTCTGCTCGGTTGTCACTGTGTAGGGATCACTGATAGCACATAGTCAAGTGTGAGGTAGAAGTCATGCTATGTTGCAAAGCCAGATAAAATTACCTTTCTGTTAACAAACTGTGTAAAATTACCCAGTTTGTCTAACCTTGAATTCCTCCTGGTTTCTGGGGAGATTTTGTCCCAAATTCCTTGAACTATATAATGATTACTACCGTATTTTATTTTGGTTGTGTGCACATGAAGTAGGGCGGACTTGTAATACACCAGGGACTGTGTAGAGCGGCAGCTGTTACACTTTCAAAGAGCGTTACTGAGCTTTTTATAGTTGGCTGCAGTTGACATCATGGCTAAATTGAGTCTCGCTCTAAAATATATTCCACCCAGCCTGTGCAACCTTAAAGCCATGCATTGCTGGGAGAAGAGAGGGTCACAGGAAGCTATGCAATACCAGCATGGAAGTAAAAGCCTGGGGATGTGTTTGCTTCTTTTTCCTGTATCCAGTAGAAATGGTCTTGAAATATTTCTTCAGGAAGAACAGCCACCTCTGGAGAAGACAGGATGAAACCTTTCATCTTGGGATCAGCAATCAAATGTGGCCCAGGTGAGCAGTGACTGACAGCTGGAATGACCTCGCTGTAGGAAGCTCTCTCAGTGCCTCACAGGTAACTGTCCAGATTGAAAGAGGCCAAGTGCTTTTACACTGCTATCACTGGTGCCACCGTGATGCTGCTGGAACCTGGGTAAAAGCTGCTGCACAGTAAAAATCATTGGTGAGGAACATCACACACCCAAGCCCCTTTCCAGACAGGACCAGCAGTTTCCAGAGCTTTTGGGAGAGATCTCTGCACTGTACTTCACTATTAAGAAAATAACAAAGCTAAGTTTGGGGAAAACTTATCCAGAACTCAAGGGTATTGACGATAATGGTCCCTGAGGATGGCACCTGCTGCAGCACAGACTTCCTGGATGAAATCTCTGCATTGCTTTTAATCCTTGCAGGATGGAAAACTGCTGCCAAGGACCTTCTGCAGCAGCCTGAGGGAGAACAGCTGGGAACAAGTCCCATAAACCTGAAGATGGGGACTCACCACACTGATTCAGAGCAACTCAAACCTGGCCTATACTCTGCAATCCCTGTAGCTAACACAAGGGGATTAGGGACTAAGGAAAGTGGGCAAGGGTGGTCCTCCACACTGCAATGCTCTATGAACTCACCTGGGTTACTACAGTGTATAAAAAGCCACACAATTCTCCTGCCTGCTAGAGATATGGGGTGAAATACATGATGTGCTTCTTCCCTGCCTGGCATTTCTGGTCAGCTAGCAATGATAACAGCCCTAAGAGCTGAAGTCACACTGAAGTCACACATACTAATCAAGTATTTTTCCCCAAAGTATCCAAAGTGTTGCCCGGACTCCTTCCAGGCTCCCTTTTCTCTTTCCATCATCACAGCTGTCAGCCAAAACCAGAGGTCGTGATACAAGAATAGGAGCAGCCACTGTGACTGCTGTATGTAACTGGCTTTCTTGCCATGGAATATTCAAAGGACACTTCTGGTTCAATTTCTTTCAAGGGTGACTGTCCATGGGGTACAGGACATGCAAACTAGGGTACAATAAAATAGGGGAGGCTGAAACACTGCTGAATAAAGGTTTAGTGCAGAGGTTTCACCAGTGTTGATTGGATGAGGTCTAGTGCTCAAAATGTCCAAACCCACTCTGTACTTGTCTGAGCATCTATACTACTGTATTGCTGGATGTATTCCATGTGAATATCCTGGGTTTCCTGGGGTACCTTTCACAGTTTTACAATCACTGCAACTCCTCTCCGAGTCTGTGACTGAGAATTGTTTGGTTTTTAGCTGTGTTTTTTTCTGAGATCCTAAAAGATCCCATGAGGGAATGTCAGTGTCCTACTATTTCCTGTCCTACTCTGTCCTGACCTGCTCTGTTGCATCTTGCAGGGACCCACCATCCTAGGAAGAAGTCCTTTTAAAAGGCCAAGCCAGGGATATCTAGCCTACCTTCACCAGGAAAGGCTGCAAAATGCAAGGAGACAGTGCATCACCCGTCTGAGAGCCTTCCCTGGGCGTTGGTGAGATGGCCTGCCAAAAATGTCACAGGTAAGAGTTACTGGTACAGCCCTTTTCACAATCTGACACTTGTTTACTGTCTCAAGGGCGTGATGGCACAATTTCTCCTTAAAACTACATGGACACAAGCCTCCTCTGTGCTGCAAAATGCATCATCCTCATAGCCAAGTGAATCGGCACGTACCCAGTGCAGCAGCCAGGAATGATCAGCGCTGCCTTCCCCCTTCCAAATGTAAAATTAATTTCTGCTTAAGCAGATGACACCAGCAACCACAGAAGTCTCCCAGCCTCACCCCAAGGTTGTTGCTGTCCTCTTTATGCTGTGCTCTCCTTCCTATTCCACATTCAATTGAATGGTCAATTCCCAAATGGCCTGAACTCCACCCAGAAGAAGAAAAAAATATGGCTATTCTGCAAGTGCTCCAAAGAGCACCTCATTACTCCTTTTTTTTCACAATTCATGATTTCTACATCCCTACATGGAAAAAACCATCAACCCAGACCCACAGAGAGGATTTCACAGGAGTGCCTGTCCTTTTGTCATGAAGAAAAAGTGAATAAGGTTCTCCTATTGTGTGATGTGGTCCATGGTTTCTGCAGCTGCTGAAAACACCAGTCAGAGTTTGAGAACTGACCCTGGGAAGTGTGGAGAGAGAAGTTCACACAGACCTGGAATGAATGATCTGTCTTCTGCGGCTCTTTGTGCATACACATTTCATATAGTCCTAAGTAAAATTCCCACCTGAAACCAGCTTTAAAAGTTCAGTTAGCCAAAGGAATCTGGTGAAGCTGCACTGCTACAAGATTAGATAAAGGCCTGGAGAGCAGGAAACAGGCACCAATCTAGCTCTGGAATAGGGATCTTCTAGGAACAACCCCGTGTGTCTCTGCCAGCATGCCATGCACCTTCCCTTCAGCAGTAGAGCCACAGGCAAGTTACAGTGGCATTTGATGTGTATGTTTGGACAGCCCAGACTTGGTTTTTCACTGTAAATGGCAACTGGCTGCTGTGCAAAGCTGAAATCCAAAGATTTGTTTGAGATGAAGGAGGTCAGGTTGGTCGGATGAGGAAAGAGTGCAACACACAGGGGTTTGCTTGCTTGGGCAACTGTGTGGCTCTCTGCATCTCAGAAATTATCAGTCCCTCAAGCAGGAGCCTGCTCCATGCAGCCAGAGGAAAGATGACCATTTGGCTGAAGAGATGTAAAATCAAGCTCTGTGGGCAGGGTCTTCGGTCTGTCAGGATTTTCAGTGGTAGCAGGTGCCCTGTTTCTCTTGGACTGCTCTATACATGCCAGGAGTCCTGCTGCCTTGCCTGATGAGAAATACAAAGCATGGAGGAAGGACAGTTCGACCAAGAGAGCTTAATCAAAGGAAATTCCTTATCTTCTCCCTTCTGCCCTTATCCTAGCAAGATTTGAGAGAAATACAGCCTTTTTGAAATGCTAGAAAACCATGAATGCTGCTATGCTGGCACTGACCAAGACACACAAACTGTGAAACACCAAGGTGATGCTGTGATTGATGTGATATCGTGCCCATTTTTGCAATTTTCAGCCATGAAGACTTTGTCTACAGTCATACTTCAGGCAGTGTCAGTGAGCCCAAGTGTGGTGACAAAAGAGGACAGCAGCAGAACTGTAAATAGAAACCTACACTAGGATGCTGCTGCACCCTTTTTTGATCACTCAGCCTTGCAGCAAACTCTCATTTCTCCTTTGTGCATTCTCTTACCTGAAATACCTTAGGACAGCCTCCCACATGTGAAAATATGGCTGCAAAAGAGGAAAAATGTGATCTCAAAGATATGGGGGATGGCTAAGATGTCAGTAGAGAGCTGCTGTGATCACTGCCACCTGGAGTCACTCTCCAGTCTTGGATTGCAGTTGTCTCATTTGGAATAATGAATTTATTTGCTCTTTGGCATGTGTCCAGCAGCACGAAGAACCTTCCAGGGGCAGGGAAGAAAAGCTGTCAAGGAGAGAAGTCTTAAATCCCCCAAGTAACATGTGCAAGACAAGCTTGGTCACATGCAAAAGAGAGGGGTAAGAATCAAGGGGACTGAAAGATAGTGGAGAAAGAGATAAAAGTACCAATAAAAGGAAAGAGAGGAAGACCTTTAGATAACGAAGGAGAGGATTAGAATATGGAGGTGACAAGGGTGCACCCTTGGCAAACAGGGCCAAAGTCAAATAGAAAAATAATCCTGCCAGAAATAAAAGCAGAGGAGCTGAGCTTGAATAATAGGGGAAGAAAAACAGCTGTCATGTAAAATGGGAGTGAGAGAACAAGGCATTTTGAATGTCTAGGGCAGGAGCTGCCTGAGCAGGGCAGCCCAGGGGGTGCTGGGTAGAGGGCAGGGACGCCTCAGAGAGGGTATTTGCAGAGAGGAGTGAGGCAACATGCAGGATGCTATCAGGCAGCTTATCTGGGATGGTTGAGGCAGGAGGATGGATAGTGGGGGAGGAAGAGGGAGATACTTTTCTATGCAAATATATGGTGCTTCTGTGTGAGTCAGACACCAGAAAATTGTGCTGTGGGCTTACAAAAGTCAAGATAACCCACAGAAATAATGTCTACCAAGTTTGTTGCATGGCATTTTCTTTTTCTTTTCTTCAGTGTGACTTTAAATAGCAAAGAAATGTGAGTCAATTCATGCATAGAAGAGAATTACTTCATCAAATGGCATATTAACCACTGCACTCCCCAGCTATGATCACCTGAAACTGCTGATTTAATGATCAACTACAAATCCCCAGCTCAGGTGGAACTTCCCACCCTCCATTACATATTCAACCTGAAAATCTACCAAACTGTACAGAGGCTTGAAATTCTTTGAAATGAAAGAGCCCAGAAAAAATGCAAGAGCAAACCAAAATGTTTTTTTTTTTTGCAAATGCCATGATACACAAGAGACTAAGAATCTCTCATCTCCAGGACTAATCAGAAAAGAGGAGGGGAAACATTTAGAATGGATGATAAGTCTGAAGCCAGAGCACTGACCTTGGCACATGCCTGAGAAGCAGCAGGGAAGCACAGAGAAGCCAGCTGAAGAAATCTCCAGTCAGTATCACTCAAAGAGGGAAGATTTGTGGGGTTTAATAGCACCAGGGCAGGCAAGGGCAGAGAAAGACAGTGAATCCGTGTTCATATTGAAACAGGCATCTGACCTTACTGGGAAAGTTCAGATGTTTTGCTTTCTGGTTTTGAAACATTGGAGCAAAATTTGCTTCACATTTGGATCCTTTTCTCAATAACCATGAGACACAAGCTTTGACAAAGAAAAAAAAATGTAAAATTCTCAAAAAACCCCATTAATTTCAGCAGCTCAGGCACTCAGATACCAAACATTGCAGGACAGAAACAGAGAATCTTGTGACTGTCATTTGCTAAGCTGGAGTAGAAGGAAGAGCTCACCACATGCAGGGTATGATGA